GAGGCGTCACATTTTTCAGTTCAATGGAGTTGTGAAGTAAATACGTTATGATGGAACACCTTGTATAAAATGACCAACTAGGTTTAGGAAAATCAAAAACTGGTTACTCATTAGTTCATTTAGCAAGTAGAGATTTTGTGATCCTTTAAAAAAACCAACATTCGATATGTTAAACAAAAATCATTAAATTGCTATTAGCTAACTTTTCAAAGAAACTTCCACAGGCTACTGTAATACTTTTTAAAAATTTCTGGATTCCTCCTACGTCGGTTTTTGCTGAGTCGGACTTGCTGACGTTTCGCCAATCATCCTGTTGGCTTCTTCAGAGCTTGACTGACTCATGAAACTAGAAATAAAATTTTATTCGATAAAACTAAACTTCTTGCATGTAATCAGTTCTTCTACCAACGAAAAATCCGAGTGTCTATAGAAATCTATAAACAACCTAACAATCTTCACCGCGACTTAGGTCTCTACCTGTCACCAATATGGGAATTAGTCATCCGAGACGGTGTTTATGCCCCTCATTTAGCTCCGCCCCTCTCAAGCAGGTACAGTGTAAAATACGAGCCAGCTTCAGTCAAGCTCTGAAGAAGACAACAGGACGATTGGCGAAACGTCAGCAAGTTCGACTCAGCAAAAACCGACGCAGGAACAATCCAGAAGTTTTGTAAAAAGTAAAATGCTATTGATAATTTCCTGCAAGCTAATATCTGGTTGGCTGAATATTTTGTTTTGAATATATGTTTTGTACTACTCTAGGACGAAAAAGTACGATAAAATAATAATTTTACCAGAGGCACTCGGTAGAAAAATTTTATGAATATTTATAATAGTTTTGTAGTAATAGTAATGTTTTAAATTACTGATTTTGATTAATTTGATAAATATCTTACAAAAAATGGCCGTCGGCATATTTTTCGGAGTCTAATATTCAGATTTATCAACAACGTTAATAACACTTATACCTACGGTAATAATGTTTAAGCTGCGATAATCTTTAACTATTAAAGAGCGATTTAAAATAGTATATTATGCAACAAGTTTAATAGAGTGAGTTTGATTTGGCACCAGCGGAACAAGTGTTTAATTAATATCTTTGTAGAAAACAAACAGGGCAAGGCACAAGTAAGTCAGAAAGTATCGACTATCCCACACTAGCAAGTACTCTAGAACGATTTAATGCATATGCTTCTTATTACTCTAGACCTATTAATTTCATCAAAGAGAAAGGTGGCAAACAAAAAACTGTCGGTTTTAAAAAAATATTGAAACAACAAGAAAGGCATAAGCGATTTATATGATATTAATCGGAATGCATAAAGACACGGTGTTGTCGAAACAATTGTCGTCAAAATATATAATTTCGTGAAAATCTGAACTTTTAGTTCTTATTTATTTTGATAAATGGAATTTTATCAAGTAAAAGCCACCTCAGTTCAATTAATCGGAATATGTTTACTAGTATGTTTTATATATTCTTTTGAATTTGAAAGTTTGTGAGTGTATATTATATACTTATTGTAACAAATGAACACCCTCACCACCATCTATCCGCGCATAGACGAATTAGCCGTCGACCAGAGCGCCTCAGTAAGGTAAGTAAGTAAGTATATTAAACCACAAAGTACAACATGAAGTAAGAAGTGGGCGAGGGCACTGGTTGAAGACAAGATAGCCATTGGCAAGTGTTGTACCTCTACCGCGTGCGATAAACTAACCTAACCTAAACCTAACGATGTGATTACGTTTGTTTGAAAAATAGTAATAATGGTTACATTTGTTCCGATACGTCGACGCGTATGCAACTCGCTTGGGTCAACGGAATAGACAAGCTACAAACTTTTAGCGTGACATTGTCGAATAACACTAACGCAGATAAGCCGTATTTAAATTACAAGGTACGTTTGGTTTTCGCGAACCGTAGCTACGAAGACCACGGTGAATGGCTGAATGGCAAACGCTCCTTATCAAGAATTCCTACACCAGCGGCAGCGTTAACGACACTTGCAGTAACGAATACGCAGATCGAAAAAGTAGTTTTTCTACTTCCTTCTGTAAAATTCCTAATTATACACCGATTAGCTTTACTACGTTAGTTTCGTTTCCCACGAATCCGAACCACTCCGGACTTTTTTGGGATTTTATCGCACGGGTTGGGGAGCAATCGAAGATATTTCCCACGCCTTGAATTTTGACGTTTGTCAAGTCTGACGGCCATGTCAGTGAATGTATTCGTGTTGTTTTGCGAAAATGTATCCAAAAATTGTCGTCGTTGCGTGCGGGAAGCGTCACTTCACCTCGTCAGTTTCGTTTCCCACGGATCCGAGACACTTTTGACATTTCTGGGATTTTACCGCACACGTTTGGGAGCAATCGGATGTTTTTGGAGATATTTCCCACGCCTTGAATTGTGACATTTGTCATTCGTGTTGTTTTACGAAAAAGTACCCAAAAACTAACGGTCGTGGAAAAAGTATAGCAAGTTCGGTAAACTTTTTAAGTCACTCGTTTATTAATTACACCAATAGTGGGTAGTGATGCCGAAGTCAGTCTGTCGCGATGTGCAACAAAATGGTCACTGTTGATGAAAACACGATTTTTGAAATAAAGAATTCGGTGGTTCGATTCATATTCAAGAACAAACACATAGATTTCGAAGTCCAGGATCTTTTTGTACTTCCTAGAGACGAGATGGGAGGTCATGTTCTGGAACAACATAATAATCTACATCGGGGACATTATCGAAGTGGGCTATTCGAATGAAGAAGAGGGCTGTGAATTGATATTGAGAAAACATCACGGCAACGAAATTAACATCGAACGCGATCAAATAGAAAATCTCATGAACTAATAAATATTTGTTATTATATATTGTTTTCTTTAATGAAATCTGGACACACCGTGTATACCTCATTATTGAGACATTCTCGACTTATTTACTAGGGTATACCATCACTGTTTTATCTTGCATAATTTGGTCATCATTCTTAGCAGTTTATTTTCAATGAGTGATGCGTTTTGGGCAAATTTGTTCGTTTTATATTTGATTTTGAAAAATGTAGGTCCACCGAAGTAAAATCAATGGAATGCAATTGGTTTTTAATGATTAATTTTTTTAAAGATGCTGCTTTCAAATACATAATATACTATTTTCAATTACCCATTCATGGATAACATTTACAGCCGTTTAAATATTAATACTAGATATTTGTATAAGTGTTATTAACATTGTCGAGAAATTACAATATAAGACTATTAAAAAATATTCCCATGATAAATCTTTAGGCCGCATGCCATTTTTTGGCCGATATTTACTTTATCCAAAGGAGTACCACACTACTAGTAGTACTGCAATAAACTACAACTATTATGAAATTTTATTCAATTTTAAAATATAAATGATTATATTATCGCACTTTTTCGTCTTTCAACCAATCTAAAAATTTATATTGTATTAAGTTGCAGTTAAAAAGCATTTTATTTATTGATAAAATTTATAGATTTTAGATATCATATCAATCTTGTCAACCAAATGGACTAAACATTTACAAATATCGACAGTTAATGAATTATTGTCAAGTCTCTTAACAAATAAGCAAAACAACAAATTTATCCTATGAATGTAGGAATAGAACGTAATATAATTTATTTTTTGGGGGTTATTGCTCCGCATTTTTCTCAAACACAATTTTTCGGTAAAATGAAACGTGACGCACATTTTAGCAAAACAACAAATTATCCCGACATTCTTAGTACCGACAAGATTGTCTTATTTTAAGGCTGCATCTACTGCGCTTATGTGACCGACTTGGAGACCCACCGACTCTCGTCTGCCTAGAAGCAAAGGCACCCTGCACGGATCCTTATTATAAGTTACAGGCATGCGCACCAACTGAAGACTATCAAATTAAACAAAAATATTTAACATCATTCCTCCCCCCTCAGATTCAACGTCGAGGGTTAGCATGGAAGCCGACAATTCATTCTGGTCTTTCGACTTCTTTGATATTCCTAACGTTGAGGTATTAGGTATAGCAAGTGTTGATGTAAATAGAAAAAGTCCAAATTTTCTAGGCTCGACGAAAGGACTTATGGCAGAGATTTCCGGTTGTTTCTGCAAGAGTTGGGCCTTTATTGTATGCAGCTCGTCCAGATTGACGTCATGAAGCTTGATGTTAACATCGGGTTGGCCTGTCATTGACATCACCAAATTTGGATAGAAGTATCTGCTGGCTGGTGCTGCTTGATTTTCGCCTACGAATACCCCTTGGCTAGACGATACATTAGAGTTGATTGGTACATCAAAAAATATGTACCAGTTAAAATGAGAGTCTCTTCTTCATAATTGCAGCCCAACTTAATTTCTTCTGTGTGAGGGAAGATACCAATAAACTTATTGGACCCTTTTATATTTTTGAAATTTTGATTACTCACTTTTAGCAGATGTAGTTGGCAGCAATTGTTTCATGTGACTTGGCTTCTCCACATATATAATATTGTGTATATTTTTACATTTACCAGTGGCTACATAGTGTATTTGCTATTGAAAATTGCAAATTAATTTAGTTTCTAGTCGTATTGTTACATGACCCTGTTTATAGTTCACATAGTGCATTTGTTAATACTGGCCAATAAATTACTCTGTTTTTTTTTCTATTTATCTTGATCCCACTAATTAGTAGTTTAAAACTCAAATGAAATTTAGCTGTCATTAGGATATTTGAGGCGTAATATATATTTCTTTCCCAATTTATTTAGATCATGATATCGACCTGTGTTTACAGAATTTTAAATGATCAATTAAATTATGAGATAATTTTGTCCTTTTGCCACACAATTTCTAACTCGCTCAATTTGAGTTAGTTGATAATAAGTTTTGGTAAGTAACAGTAATTATTTTCTAAATGGTGTAAGCGTAAGCAATAAATAAATAAATAAGCCTACCAGACTATCTACCACACTACCTCTGTCAAAGGGAGTAAATAAAAAACCGCAGATTATTTAAAATCTAAATTTCTTTATTTCTCCATACTTATTTTAATCATCCTGTGCTCAACTGGTTGTGAATTTGTTACATTATAAACAGTTTACAAAAAATAAAATATCAAAGATAAATCAGTCTAAGTACCGAAAACGGTACAAAAAATTTACAATTAATACAGTGGCAATATTTTAACAAATATGTTATTTTGTATAAACAAAACAAAGTTAAGTAACTACATATTAGAGAAGTATATTCGAAATTACTTAAGATATGTTAAATAAGATAAATTAGTGCAGGCGTCGGGTGTGAACTTAACGGACAATATGCATGGACTGGCACAAAACAACCAACTACACATGTACATAAAAAATGGTTAAAAATCGTTTAAAAAAATAAATACATCAATACGGCGAGATTCGTTTCCTAAAATATAATAGAAAAAACAAATATTTTTATACCAAAAAAAGACGCACATTATAAAATAGTAAGGGAGGGGTATTTATTTCGCTAAAGTCCGTGTTGCATGTGCACCTCAGGGTTTTATTCTATACATTTTTCTTTTTATGATATACTCCCACGTGTAGTTAGGCACATTGTTCACACACAATTGCACACTATCCTCGCACTTCATTAATAAATTTAGTTCGCAATTTACAATTATCATTTAACTGTTTGCGCGTGATGATTCGGCAGTAATGAAACAGAACAGTGAAATTTGTTACAAAAAACCAAGCGCAACCGCTTCTCGAATGTGACGGGCAGTTATTGTCTGCTGTGTTGCCAATCCTACCTCATCCGCATCTAATTTGTATAGTGATCGAAAGAGCCCAGATACTCAAGAGCCGCTCTGTAGCAAAATTGATATTGATCCTGAAACATTGTTTCGTTTTAAATCGAGATACGTAAGTTATTACGGCAAGTACCTCAGTTTGGACCATGGCCGGGCGTTGAGTACGCAAAATTCTGGCTGTTTGAAACACGTCCACAACCCCTTCGTACTGCATTCGCTCCAGTACTATGCTTAAAGTGATGAAAACGCCAGTCCTACCAACGCCGGCGCTAAAGTGAGGGAAATTTCGTCAATATCACCGCAAACATGACCATAACAATTACATAGGCCAGCACACACAATGACAATAAATCAATAAAAAATAAATAAAACAATAAATCAATAAAAAGTTGATTTACAAGCGTTTATGGTTACCGGGAGGCAGTGTTATTTTAGAATAAACTTGTTGCTGATATAAGAAACTCGCCTCAACAACTAGATGATGTTATTATAGGAAAAGACACCAATCAACGATTACTATAACATTCCTGAAACTTCAACATAGTAAATAAAAAAATCTACTAATAACCTATATTTTTAATGCAAAATTTGTCTGTAGGTCTTCTAAAAATGCCAGAAGGCATGGAAGCTGCCATTAGAAGGTCAGTGAAGAAACGATGCTACAAGTGCATAATGAAAGTGTTTAGGAATGATGGTCCTGGGCGGATTTGCAATGGCGAACTAAATTCTAAAATCGGCATTTAGAGGAAAAAGGATATCCTTTTTACACTGTGGTTCGAGAAAAGGTTGGGTGCCAAACTCTGCTATTTTCAGCAAAAAACATTAAAGACTAGTCTTCTTCCATATACGACACCAGGCAGCGCAATGAAAATGTTAGCTCATTGTGAGCACCAAAAAAGCCTTTCATTTGAAGATATTTATACAAAAAAACTAGTTGAAGAAGAAAATTTGATAATATACCACTTTGTCACTGCGATTTGAATACTATAGAAAGGATATGGTCCGAATTGAAATATAGAGTTAGCCACATATAAACGCAAAAATGTCTACCCATGTAAATGATGTAATGAAAACTTAGTGTGAATTAATACCAGCGCACAGTTGAAGAGAATGTGAACTTGAAGTGGAATACAATAATAAAAAAAAAACTTGGGACAACGTAAAACCATGCATTAATTATATCCTTGGATAATAGTGATAGAACTGATTCAAATTATGTATATGTATATGAGAATGTATTCATATATTTTGTGTTCAATTTCCTCACTATTAAACTGCACCGTTTTGAGTGAATGCCTAGATAAAATGGTAATAGCATTATTACAGTCATTACCATTTATCGTGTGCCGGACTACACTCGCTTACCTGCAGTGTACCGTAATAGGTCCATCCTGTCCGAATTGCTCCTTGGTTTTGTGCACTTGTCCGATGAAGTCGATGAAGCCGTCTCCAGATTTCGGCACTCCTTGTTCCGGCCAGTCTGTGAACTGGAATTGGCGCATAGTCCTCGATGAACCGTCTCTGGCGTCTGTCACTTTGAACTCCCGAAGAATATATTGCGGCATGTTGTACTCTGCTATAGGATCTACCACGTAACATCCGTACCTTACAGATCTGTCGCTGGGCCAGTATTGATAACACTTCTCCTGTAATGAAAATGACAGTCTTGAGTTGGGCAAAAAAAAGCTATAAAATAATTTCTTCTTTCCAGGGTAGTTTCTGGACAATGGTAATATGTTTGTCCATATGGGTGCCCAGCAGGTATGCGCGGTTTTGTTATTTGAAGAGATGAAACGACCGGGGTTTCATATTACTGACATTATAAACAATTTTTCGAGCAATGAAATGGCTTAAAATAGAATGAAACAGGCGGTCAGTAGAATATAACGTCTTTTCAAAGATGTCTTTAATAGGAATTCATTTTACATTCAAAATATAAAAAATGATACAACGCGTACTTATCGTTCTAGAATGGCAAGTAAATTACTGGTCGTTTTGTTTATCTTGATAATTGTATTTAATACATCTAAATTGTAAAATTTGTAAGTTATGCATTACAAAATTTTTCAGGTTTTGTGATTTTTATATTTTCGAAATACTGAAAGGCAACTGGAGAGATATAAGAAAATGATAAATTCATTGTAGATTTGTAGGTACACAGTATCTAACACAAGTCTGCACTGGAATGTGTTGACTTTCAGCACCAGTTCTAATAATACATTCTTCAACATCAAAAGAAACTAACCAAAACTCTAAATCAGACCCTAGATCTAAGTTTTAAGATTAAGATATGACAGTTGTCAACCGAAATTGTTAAAATTGCGTCAATGATTTAAATTTACACTTATACCTAAAATATTGTGAATTAACAGGTTGAAAATTTTGTTGGTGAAAGGTTAAATTTGTTGTCAGTTTATTTATCGATCTCTCTGTTGCGATAATTTTCCTATGATACTCGAAATTCAACTGATTAAAAAAAAGTTATACCATTGCTAGCTATTTTGAAAGTGTCGTGCAAGAGTCCAAGTGTTAGCACAAAAGCACAATTTTTTCCAATAGAGAAATAAATAAATGAAATAAACGTTGAAATGAATAAAAGTAAATGAAGTTAAATCGTTTGATCCCAAAAAAGCCCCAGGAAGAGTTTCCTTTTTTATTTATAAAGTCTTGTTCAAGTTTGGTAGCACCGTCTCCCATTTTCACAAAACAACATATATTTCGGGATATGTGGAGAGTGGCAAAAATTATACATTATTTTTCTATTTGACTTGACTTGACTAAATGCTTTAGTCAAGTCAAATCCAGCCTGGATGAAAACCTAAATGTTTTCTTAAAAAAAAGTTCAATGCTTTTTCATATGGCTTCTTGTTTACAAAAAATATTTGACAATTTTGAAAGGGGAGAGAGACATGTGACAGATTTTGGATCGTCTTACCGTGTTGGTGAAACTTGGAAACTTCGAAGCCTATGGTCCCGCCCGCAATAGTGAAAAGTGTATAAAAATTATACCGATTTTTATATCTGGGCAAAAAAATATAAATTTTATTTTTTTTTTAAATACTTTAATCAAGTCCAATCCAGCCTGGCTCAAAACCCACACGTTTTCTTTGAAACATGATCATGGCTCCTGATTTAGAAAAAATATTTGACAATTTCAAATAGGGGAGAGATCTGACTGAGATCGACTTTTGATAAGCTGACCATTAGCTAAACTATTAAATAGTAGTATGCCGCTATTAATAACCATAAATGGAATGTGCACAGTGTTACGTCGTGCATGTTCCAAGAAACATATTTGGGTTCATTGTTCTTTAGTATTTTTCTGTCCAATATTGGGGAGTGCATTTTAATGTTAGATTATGGGGATGAAGTTTTATAGTACTGTCATCGCCCTCAGTGCTTAAACTTTCCAAGCTGATTTATATAGATTAAATTGATACTGTTACAAGACGTTGTTTTTAAAATATCACGAAAGCTAGTTCATTATTTTTTTACAAGAAAGAAAACCCTTTTAATAAATTTAATGCATTTTTAAACTGAATAACACAAGATGTGTTAACAGCTTCAGAGATTTATATTGTTTACTTATCATTTAATGCACATATTTTAAACATTATCCTTCGTACCAATAAAAAGCTAGGATTTATATTAACAATGACCTAAATTTTTAGAATTTTGCTCCACATTTTGGAACCCAAAATATGCTAAATACATAAATAGTATTAAAGAAGTGCAAAGAAAATTTGTAAGTTTTTTTAATGACAGATATAATAGGTATAAGCATTTTGTTACTTACATATATTATTTACATTTTCTATTCTACTAGCTACATTTCTAATTCTCCATTTACAAAATCCACCAACACTTATCACTGCTTGCAAAAGATTGACAACGAAGAATCGCTAGACCTTTTTGGTATATCATTCTTAGATCAAGGTTTAGCCTTCTTTTTAAGTGTTTGGGATATTTATATCCCTATTCTGCGTAGAATAACGATTTTTTTTTTTGTTTATTTGGGCTATCCTCTAAAAGAGCACAGTATGTCTATAAAATAAATCGCAAGCAAACAACGTTCTTAAATGCATCTTAAATGCATGCAGAAATCAAATATCAAATCAATTTACCCGTCCCATCTCCTTAAGTTTCGTAAGCATTACAATGATAGTGGAGTTATGTTCCCACAGCATCCTCCACAGATCATCGGTTGTGTCCTGAAGCGGCCCTTGAGTGGCAATGTAAGCCCTTCGGTAGCGATAGCCATCGATAAAGCTGGCATTGATGTAGTCCGCTCCTTCCATATTTCTAATCGGCTGCAGACATACCCTGGTGCTTTCGTAAGGTAAGATATGTACCAATCTGAAAGCACGAATAAATAAGCAAACTAGTCAACGTCATGCTGAAACGGTTTACCTATTTTTGTGCTTATTACAAGGTAAATTCGCGGTAACGAAGCGCGAAGAGTCAGTCTTAATATTTCCGAGCTTCTTGAATTCGTGTTCCATTCCCGTAATGTTCTCGCCAGGTTCGAGTTGCATCAGTTTCTGGATGTGCTGCTGCAGGTTCCTCGCGGGCACCTCCGTTTGGCCACAAATGTAGGCCTCCAAAAGCGAATCATGGATAAATATATACTGATCTTCCGTTTGAACCATGTAATTCCTCTGAGCTCGCAAGCAGGTTACGTGGCCGTAGATGTCTACAGTTTTCTCATGTTTCATCCGTTCCAGCATCGAGTCGATCACGATAAAGCAACCTGCACGACGATCAAATATTTCAAGTCCATATGTAGAAGCTGATTTTGGTATGCGCTTACCCGTTCTTCCAACCCCTGCAGAACAATGAACGATGATTGGGCCAGCGTCTGGAGGGTTCAAACTGCGTACTCGCCTGAGGAATTGCAAGAATGGCGCAGGATGATCGGGGACTCCATGGTCGGGCCAAGCGGTGAACTGCAATTGTTTCACTTCCCTGGTGTCTGTGTAACCGTCTTTTTGAATATCGAATGTCCTAATGCAGTAAGTGGCCAATTCCTGGACGTCCGTTATCGCTACCGACATGGGTCCGTATATTTCAGTGCCTCTCGACGGCCAGTACTGATCGCACTTGATCCTGGTGCGTTCTTCCAGTTTCGTCATCATCACTATCGTGTAAGATTTGAGCTCCCAACACATCCTCCAAAAGTCGCCGAATGTTTCCGGTAGAGGTCCTTGCGTAGCAACGTAAGCGTTGTGTTTTCGATACCCATCGCAGTAATTGGCGTTTATATAATCGGAACCCCTTTTTCCGTCTTCGATGGGAAGGATGACCCTGCTGTGATCGTAAGAAATCACGTTGGCGTAGCGGTTCTTCGGTTTGTTGACGTCTTTATTGGAAAATTCCCACGTGAACGTCTGACCAGGCTCGATACTCTCGTATTCCTGCGAGAACTTCAAGTTGTCGTTCGCCTTCAACCGTTCGATATGATTCGCCAGTTCCGAAACCGGTATGGGCGGATGCGATATCATCGCTGGAGTTTGGAAATTCAGTCTTCTCATCTCTACCGGGTCGCTAGGCGCTATACTACTGTTTAGATCTGCGGGAATAAGAGGTTTCGTCACGGCTGCCTGATCGGGCGTTTTGCATGGTCGTCTCCGCCTCCGCATTATGAAGAAGAACACCAATATGGCGCACAAAAGAACTACGGCAATGCCGGGGCCTACAATCCACAGATATGTCGCTTCTTTTCTGGGAGAACTGACTTTAACGTCGTTATCGGTCGGAGCGTTGGGGTTCGGTCTGATGGGTGGTTCGCCCGGTGGGGGAGGGCGCATATCTAGCGAAAGAAATTCGGAGAAGGGACTGCTGGTATAAAGATGCTTTTGGGGTGTGTCTACAACCTGTAAATTGTTACACTGAAGTATTTTCAAAAAAACGAATTTTTTTTTGAGCTTCGATTGTGTAAAAGCTCGGCGGTATAGTGTATACAGGGTGTCCAGAAAAATATGTTAATGGACTCATCCAAAATAATTATGGGCCTATCCTATAAGGAAGCTTTTATTATTAAGTGTTGAGTAAGTAATATAATATTAGTAGTAGTAGTAATTATCGTTGAAGAAAATAATCAAGATTAAAATTAAAACTGATAAAATTTTTAATTTAAACCCTCCAAGTTTTATAATGTTAACCAGCATTAAAAAATTGGAGTAGATTTCTAGTTATGGTTTTCATTTGGATTTTTTTTTTGGTATAGAAAACTGAAAATTCTGTCGTTCAGTTCTTGCAACGTACGAGAGGCAATCTGTTTTAATTCTACACTACGGACTGAAATATCTATAGTAATTCAGTTTTGTCTAGTCTAGTCTAGTCAACAGAGAAAGGATAATTACTTATATTTCATTGCAATTTAATGGAACTGTGCACAGAATTCCGCAAAAATTTTCAGTAATTAGTTTTAATTTCTCCGTAATTAGATGGACCTCCACCACAATTAATTGAAATGTATCTAAATTCTTCCATAATTAGTAGAAATTCCTACGTCATTTCTACGAATTCATCTGTAATTTCTTGTACTTCCTTGGGATCCCTCCGTAATTAGAGGGAATGCCTTCATAATTAGTCGGAATTCATCCACCAAGGGAGTTTCGATATCAACCTTCATTCTAAACTTCATGTTAATAAGATGTTAAAAATGTTCTATCCGAAGAGACATTTGTTGCCAACGTCATTAAAGAGAAGGTTAACTTAGTTTTAAGTCGCTTTAATTTTTGTTATACTGTATATGGCCTGTTTGGATTTGTGTAACATCAACAGAATACAGAGGGTCCAAAAGTTGTATTTGCATTTCATTTATGGTATACGTGAGATTCAGTTTCACATAAACTTAAAGAAAAAAAGTGGCCAACAATGGAAAGCAGGCATAAATTATATTAAATTACTCTGTTCCATAATATAATATTGAATTTATTGAATTTATTATAAAAACACTGTCCCCAGTGTTTTTATAATAAAATTAGCTTTCCCATCGACGTGCGTATGTTAAACTTGAAATTTCGTAGCTATAAATCGCCTCCACCGCCTTTAAAGACATTTCTTTTTTAACGCCAATGGAGGGAGGGATGAACATGCTTAAGCTTAAACTTATTTAAACGTCCCTATTATAGAAAGTACCTTCTCGTGTTTTTGTTAGCTTTTTTTCCTTGTATACTATTGTTATTTGTAACTCTAGAAAAATTTTTCATTTATTGCTTGTTAAGGATCGGACATAATATGCAAGTATCTATATCATTGTCTGGGGGTTGAACTTGAACTTTTGGTAATTATATTCAACTCCTTTTTTGCAGCCATAATGTGATACTTTCTGTATAATTTTGTTGCGAAATGATTACTATTATTATTAAGCATTATCGAAGGTTCCAACAAAAGCAGAACATTGAAAAAAGTCGCATTCACCGTTAACCCAAACGCAGCTAACTTGCGCAAGACAGTTTTTACACAATAAAGTTGACGTAGACTTAACTTACAGCTCGAACAAAGATCCGATATCTCTTTCCGGGAAGGAGTTTGTAATTCACCAATCCGTCGTTCACTTCGCCAGTGCCCAAATGAAATGTATAAGGAATACTTCTTTGGGGGAATTTGGCCGCGATATAAGGCAAACTGGGATCTTCAGGTACTTTTTCAATGTTCGTTAACAAATCTTCGGTTAGAAATTGATCGGGCATGTTCTGTATCGTAGACGCGTCCTCCGGAACGACAACTAAATAATAGTGACTGATTGGTCCGTATTCTTCAGACGCTTGCGGTAGAATCACGTGAATCTCTTCGCCGTTGACGACGCCATAGAAATCGGGTTTCACCATCGGTTGCGGAGCAGCCATTTGAGTCGTGACGGTTATTTTAGTCGGTGGACGGTACGAGTTATCACTTGGTATGGCGCTGACGTTCACGTTGTATGTGGTAAACGGAGATAATTCATTAATCGTGTGAGATTTCACGTCGGCGTTTAGCAATATTTCTACCCGCGGTATGCTCTGCGTTTGGGTAATCCCTTGGGAATCGACGAACTCTTTAATGGCGTCGAACGAGATTTTATACTTGATGGGATTGAGCCTAATGGGAGGTGACCAAGACAAAGTCATAGAATGGGTGGTGACTTCGTGCGCCCTCAGGTTCAACGGAACATCTTCCGGCTTCACTTTAACCGTTACTTTTTCCGAAAGCCTTCCCAAACTGTTCTTCATGCGGGCCGCTACGGCGATTGCGTATTGCGCGTATTTTTCCAGGTTCACTAAATCAGCGGACGTGGTTAGACCGACCGACTTCTGTTGCCACTCGTCGAGGTCTTCGACCGCAGTCATCGTGTAGAATATCTGGTAGCCGATGATCTTGTTGCGTGACGGAACGGTCTCCCACCATACTTCGACGCTAGATTCCGACGTGGCTACGGCTTTAACGGACATCGGTGCTCTACCTATATCTTTCTCGGTCTGGATTGTCTGTTTTTCGCTGTTTGGTCCCGCCCCTTGAGTGGTATACGCTTTGATATGGAAGATGTACTCCGTATTCTCCTCCAAATTCGTAAAGACCGCCTTGGTTTTTGTCACGTTTCTGATGATCACGTTGTTGTGGTCCGACTTTTTATGAAATTCGATGTCGTATTTAACGATTTGGCCGTTTCGGTGTTCACGCGTCGGGGGGTCCCAAGTGATGCAGACTACATCCGGAGTTTGGAAACGGTAAGTGATGTTGGAGGGGGGACCGGTTGGCGGGCCTTCGGGCGTGCGCATGTATTTTATGGCCTCCTGACCGGTACCGATATGGTTCAATCCGGCAACTCGGAATTCATACTCAACTCCTCTTTCCAAATCGTTTATTCTATAGTTCATAGTTTGAGTACCTGGTTTTGAAAGGAACGATATTAGTGTACCCTAAAATATCGGCAGTTTAAATAGTAAAAAATTGCGAAATATCACATATATCACCATAAAATTAAAAAAAAACGTTTTATTCTTATAGGCCATATCGGAAACAGTATAACAATATAACGGGAAATTTCGTCCAGTGCTGCTCAATTTCAGTGTCAGTATTTTCGAGACTAAGGAATTAAGGGCTCATCAGAACTAATAAGCGTCCTAATTAAAAACGATTAGGAATTTTTAAAAGAAGGTTTGATAATAATTCGGTCGTACCATGCGGGACGGTACGACGAGGACATGAATTCGGATGTTTTTTAAAAGTATTTTGTTGAAATGATAACATATCTTCGTGGTGTTTTAGCAGTAGTTACGGATAACGGATTGCATCAACTTTATCCAGGAGGAAACAAGAAACTATCGACTATATCGACAATTTCATAAAGAATACTATTATATATAGCACCTTTACATACATCGTTATACGAAATACGCTGTGGACGATCTATCTAAACAAACTAATTTATGAAATAACTTAAGTAACTGAGAAAAGTTAAAGAGCAGCGAGCAGCTCAGGGCGTCATTAAAGAAGAGGAGAGAATATGGGATCTTGACTACTTGATCGATCGGTCCGTCAACCATTAATTATGACATGAAGAGGAATTTCTCGGATGACAAAGATTATTATGATTTTTTATAATTTAAGTTCTGTATTATGAGGTTCTACTACTCTGCATGGTTCTGAAATATGCTTTAATTTTTCCACGACGCAACCATTAGGGTTGACGTAATGTAAATCTAATCTAAATAAAATAAATACAAAAACTCTTTTTTGATTTCTTTGAATGTGGGACGGCAATGTTTCAATGTTGAAACTAAAAGAACTTGGCCATTATTTTTTGACTTAACTACAAATAGATAGATCGGTGTCGTTTATTAAGTGTAAACTAAACCAATTCCGAAGACTATTACGCTTTCATACTAGTTTAAGGCTGTTTCCCAATCAATTGAATTTATTAATGACTATATGAAATTTACCATTGAAAAAGAGGGAAGTGCCAGTTCCAAGTGTCTTTATAGATACAATTAGTGTATCTAACAATACGTAGGTATATGGAAAACCGCATTTCCGAATGCTGAATTGTTGAATATTAAAACAGATTTGCTCCATAATTTCTAAATAAAATTATAACCAGTTTTAAAATAGATCAACCTGACGAAGACACACTCACTCCTAACGATCAAGTATGTAACGGTACTTTAAGAAATAAATTGATAAGTACGTTATAAATACGGTTAGTCCCATATTAGAGAGAGAAGTTTTTCTAAATTTACAAATCGAAGAACACACAAAACCCAAAACACATAAATACTGAAAATTGGGCCACCAGCCACAACGAGCAGAAGTGCCATAGCCTATAGTGAACAGTTTTATGGTTGATTAAAACCAACAATATTTTTTTTATTATTGGTAAGTTGCCTGTTATTGATAAATTATAAACCATCTCTACTACAGGGGTTTTGACCTTCTTAATGTGGGAGACAATGTTTGAGTACTGAAACCATATAGGTAGCAAAATTCGAAAAACGGAAACGCAGGATAATCGCGACGTATCGCGAGCCATACAAATAAATCCATCCGTAACAAATTTCTTTTTATTGCATTCACACCGTTGTTATTGAGCTATAATGAATATATTTTTACCGAATCTTAAATCATTTACCTTTGAGATGCACGTCTTTAAGCAGCTGGTCTTTAATGCCATAGCGCAGCTTATATCCCTTAAGTTCGCCGTACGTTTGCGAAGGCCTAGACCATTCCAGCTCGATCGTAATTGTGGGCTCCCTTTCAATTATCCTGTCAAATGGTCAAATTAAAATGGGATTAGGGAGTCGACGAAAAGTCGCATTACTTAAGTGTCAAAGCAGGACGATTGGGAACACCGCCGGGTGTGCGCACGTTAACTGGAGTGCTTCTATCTCCATCTCCCTTGCGGGTCAACGCAGCCACCTGAATAACGTACGTGGTGTCGGGCTGTAGACTCGTAACGTTCAATTCCAGAACCGTATCTCCGAAGACGTCGAATCTCATAGGGTCGTTGAGGAAACTTTTACCCTGTACGAAAAGTCATTTTAACGGGTTATTCGCTATTAGAAAGAGTGCCTTTACCTCTTCTTTTGTTTCTTGGACATGTACGTGGTAACCTAATATGATTCCGTTTCGGTCTCTGGTTTGGGGTGGTTTCCAATTCACCTTGATCGTTGTCGAATTAATGGGGGTGACTTTGACGTCTTGCGGATTGCCCGGCACTATTAAATCGTAAACGAATATCAGTATTCGCGTTATGAGTTCGGGTCGATATAGAAATTTACATGCGGCACATCACACGTTTTCCTTTTGTTGTTCATATTTGTGTATTGATTTGTATGTTTAGCATCCTTTGAACATTTGAATACCAACACACGAAAAATTCATAAACAATTACCTCTTCCGATAAGGAGGGTTTGGCAAATAGGTAAACAAAATTTATCGTGAACGGTAAGGTAATAAAAATATCCTCGTTTGCACTGAAAAAAATCAGTTCAAAAAGAAAAACAAGACACGTCTCAAACAGCGTATCCAAAAAGCACAAGAAAAAATCTATGCAGTTTATCTAAGACACTACTAGCACACAACAGAAAAAAATACTCACTCCTTTTTACTGCGGAACCGCGTTTAGCAAAAAAGTCAAGAAAAATATAAAATAGTAATTGTGAAACGACACTATTACTATCAAAATGTAGTATATAAAAATCCACAAAAACATCTCCGCTACAAAAATGCTTGGAGGTTCAAAATGTACCCACGTTTCGATACTCACACACATGTAGTGATTTCAAAAATATTCCTATCGTTACGAGGATCGAGGGATAAAAAAAATGATGGTGGGAAAAATCGGGGTTGTTTTCGAAAAAAGTGTCAAAAAATGTGTCCAACTTTTGTTAGATTTGTTTTGCGGCGGCCACTCGCATACGCACGTTAGCAGACAACGCGTTCGTAGATTGTGGGCGGCGTAAAATCTTTGTGTTGCCCAAACACTGAAAAGCAAAAACGCTTCAACTATTTTTCGAACATGCTAATTAGTAAAAGAATGCATTTTACTAATACAGGTTGGCATCCTGATCGAAAGCATATTGGTATTCAAATGTGATATACAAATTTGCGGCGATTATGGGTAATTCCTCATTCGCGTCAAGGCGACAAGCAATCTATTTCTCGTATCTGTTTAAGCGTCACACGATTTACGTTAAACATGCCTTCATCTATTATTTAGTTATAGCTGTAAGTTTTAGACGGAAATATATTAGAAACGATTTAAAACATCCGTGATTAATGATGATTGGTTTTCGAATGTGTGTCCCTTTATTTTTAATTTTTTTAACGGGACATATTTCATAATTTAATTTGGTAGGAGTCTAAATATCATACGGCGTTTACAAAGAAGGTGACTAATGAGTCGCGTCCTGAACGTAAAAGCTTTCAGCTGTTGCAGTTTGACTTCGTTTCCAAAGAATTCCAAAAATCACAAATTCCGAGATTCGTCCGATTTAGAATTTTGTTACGTATTGATTTTGTTTTAAATAAATAAAAATACGAGGTGCCGACTGTAAATTCAAAGTCATTATATTAATTCAGTTAAGGATAACGGAAAATCCGTACCATATTTACGATGGTAGGCTCTAAATTTCCAAAAGCATCAGTCCATATAAATCCAAAATTTTTACTACCTTTTGATACCGTAGCTTTCCAATTTTGATGCCATCTATCGATGAGTGGACAAAGTAATTTCGCATCTTTGGTTAGTAATCTGTAATTTTCACGGGTGATGCAGAAGTTAGGGTTTCCTTCTACTTCTCCAAAGGATTTTTTGCCACGGATCATACAGAAAACAATATTGTTTTTACAAATTGGGCTATTCTTAATATCATCGCATTATTTTTCGAATTTGGAGTAGTAGTTATGGTTAGTTTTTAATTGGTAAGTAATATTCGATTCGAAAAATCGTTTTAAGAAATACCCAAACATGAGAGTGACAGTTGCTTTGATTACAGGTGGGATTCATGTTCTATGACCATCAGATAATTAAAATATTATACCACTAGAGTAAATGATGATAAGTTCTAGTTGTGTTTTGTTTTCAAAAATTTTGATAGCCGATTAATTTTCTTCACCATTCGATATGTCAAAATACCAGCAAAGGCAAACGCATTTTTATTACTTTTCGAACAATCGGGGGCAAACTTGCAACAGAACACATTTGGTGCCCGAAAAATGGGTCAAGTCTAAAGTCTTTTTGAATATATTTTTTTAATTTTTTATGTTTAGCTCGAATATAGGAAATGTATCATTTTAGTTTTTTTAAAACATGTCTCAATGTCCGGAGATAAATATATATGATGCTTTTTCTCTCTGTTGAAAACGGATTCGAGACATTTATTTTTATGCTTGAAAGTGGTAGACACTGATTCAGTAGAAATACTAAAAGGATGTCGAACCTCCATTGTCTTTATTTTTATCAAGTGTAAACTGATAACGGGTAGAGTAGTTTATATTTTTTATAGAATAAACACATTTTTCTTGATTATCACTAATTTTTACAATAAAATTTGTAATATTGAAGGATTATCGATATTTTGAAAACGAAATTAAACGGAGTGAACAGCTTTCAATACGTTAACTTTAGTTTTACACCGAATTTACTTTAGCATCAGCTACCAAATTAAACTTGGTACACATTATGATTGGACGCTTATGGAACTTTCGTATCGTCACGTGATGAAAGGTTATCGCAAGATAATCTTGCAACATACATTTTAAATGTTAATTTAAATGCCAGTTATAGTCTATAAATATACTCAGGAAAAAAGTCAATCAGTCATACATTCACACGAAAACAGTGCAAGTGTGAAATCGCACACAATGAAATAGTGATCGTACATGTGCCATTTATTTAGTGCGCATGTCACCTACTGTGAGTGAGGTGCTCGGTTGCAAAGAGGACTGTGTAGAGGACGGGATGTTCGAAAAATATTCAGCGGTCGCTGAAGGTTTTTCGAACTGGGACAGTGGGCGAGGCAAAACGCATGCTGGGTAATAAATTTTACTAAAATACCAAGGTGTGCTCAAAAATCGAAACGGAAGATATATAAAAAGGTGCCGATTGTGACTTAAAAAAAAGGTGCCATTGCGATGCGAGTGAAAAATCGAAGCAATCATTACATGTGAACGTGAGTAGCTAAAATGACATTCAAAAATAAAACGAAAACGCAAAATAAATCTTTTAAGATTCCGAAAGGAAAAAAAATCGGTATTACGTTCAAAAACCTCTCGGTGCTCCTGCAAACGCTTTTGTAGACAGAAAAAAGAAAGAACATTAAACGTTACAAAATACAAAATACAAATAGAGCGGCGGTTGACTCCCTCTCAAAAAAATATCGAGGTGCAAAACGGGCTGTAAAAAATACGGTAAAAATACAAAACCAGTTTGTTAAAAATCCTTTTCCTTGGCGGGCTGCAATGGTTCAAAAATATATCCAGTTAAGTCACATACATATCTCGGTGGATATGTCAAAAAACACTAACACTACGAAAAATGTAAACAGAAAACAAACAAAACCAATTAGAAAAATCTACTGGTAAATCAATTAATTGAAAAACGAAAATAAATTCGAAATCAAAGTAAAATGAAATTAAATCAGGAATAAATCTAGGATAAAGGAATGACCTGAAGAGCTTACTTTACCAATTTAGGTAACCTGGTACTTGGGGCGATTACAAAATAATGTTTGTCCGATTAACCAGTTAGTAAAACCAAGACTTAATTATTTTGACAAAAGTTTAAAAAGAGTTGATAACTTTAGTAGTGCTAGTTTTACTACCACTTGATATAAAATACAAGAAGTAGAACCATGAAGGTGGTTAATGTCGAAGTAAGTGAGGTAATTCCATTCTCGAATGGGTCTTGTGTCTTGGTTATACTTTTCCTACATAAACAGATTGAAAATTACATAACGCGACAATGTTAATAGTTAATTCAGTATTGGTTTGTTGTGTTGCAACGTACCATCTTCATGGGTTCGCACGGTGATCGGATAAGAAGCCGGTCCATCTCCGACCGAGGTGCCGGCCAGCACCCAAATTCGATAAGTGGTCCATCGTTTAAGTTCGTCAAGCACAAAACTAGTACTGTTCAATTTGTTAATGGTCGCTTCACTGTCCGAACGATCCGCCTCCACGAAATGCAGCTTGTAGTATATTATGTTGCCGTTGCTTCGGTTGGCCGGCGGCGGGTCCCACCATACTTTGATCGCGGTCGGACTTACCGCTTCACCCTGTACATTGCTCGGCGGCGCCCCCGGCACTAGCGGGGACGTCGGCGGTTAAAATAGATGCCAACATGTGTGTGGTGTGTACGGTTCGCTTTTTATCGGCATTATTTTTAAAAACAATGCGTATTTTAAAATACGTCACAGATATCGAGGTGGAAATGGATTTTCAAAGTACTCTTTTAAAGATTCGACGAACAAACATGACATTTGAAAAAATTCCGTCTTTTGCATTCAAGTTTTATCAAATGTACAAAATTTTAAATGTATTCGAGTTTACTCCAGAGTATAAAACGAGATTGAAGAATCTCGAATAAAAATGGGATATCCACACGGATTCATTGTCTAGACTGATACGACAATGACTAAAGAGAATAGCACCAACAATTCGTATTTTATTTAGTCTAATAGTGTATGAAAAACAGGTTTAATTTTTAAACTTTTATGGCGATAATCAAAAACATGACAAAACTATTAAACATAGCTTTTTTTTAAAAGTTATTTGAGTTTATTCTACAGTGTGTTAAAGATATTCGTCGATGAAAAAGAGATATCCATACAGCTTCCTTTTCTAGATTAATAAGACCACGGCTAAATAGAATCACAGCAGTGCTTCGTCTTCTATATATGATATGAAAAACATGTTTCATTTTTATATTTATATAGTGAAAATAAAAACATGACAAAACTATAAAGCGGAAGGTAAAATGAATGTAGCTTGCCGTTGCTGTTATATTCAGAATTGTTGCTATTATTATTAAAACATCTAAAATGGGAAAAAAGTGAAGTTTGTCAAGTTTCCTTCAAAGTATATAAAAAACACCGTATATTGAAGATATTCTGCGATGAAAATGAGATATCTATACCGATCCTTTTTTCTGGTTTGATACGACCATGGCTAATTAAAATCACAGGAACGAATCCGCCTCCTCTTCAATATAATATTATATGAGAAACAGGTTTTATTTTTATACTTATATAGTGAAAATGAAAACGCGACAAACCTATAAAGAGCAGAGGAAAATGAACTTAGCTTTACGTTGCTATTGATGTTCAAATTGTTTGCTTTTATTATTATTAAAGCATAAAAAACTTAAAAAAAGACAAATTTAAAATATAAAAGTAAAGTAAACTCGAATATTATTTCAGGGTATAAAATATCCACAGTAGATTGGGGATTTCTAAGAAGAAAAAGAGATATTTATACCGATTCTTTTTCTAGATTGATACAACTTTGGCTAAATAGATTCGAAGCAACGATTCGCCTTTTCTTTAGTATAATAGTGCATGAAAAACAGATTTCATTTTAAGACTTATGTTATATATTATTATATTATATTATCTTTTTTTTATATAAACAAATATGAAGTAAACCATACCATAAGGTAAAAAAGTTTTTTTTTAAATCTTCATATGGAAAAGAGAAGGATGACGAAAGGAAACAATTATTTATTTTTATCTATTGTCCTTTATAACTTGCTTAGCTGTAATACAACGATCAGAATTAAACAATTAATAATATGGTGTTGAATGCCAACGAAATTATTGAAACGAAAAAAAAAAAGAATTTATCGGAGTTGGTGGGCCTGAGAGAGAAGTTTTTTGCAATTGAAAGCTGGAGTTGTAGCTACACCTTAAGTGTAGGAGGAAGTATGAATGTATAAGTTTAGAAATCTGTCATGATTTAGTATATCGTATTACGAGTTTTCAAAGTGATATACAAATTTTTATTAAAAATCCATAAGTTGTCAACTCATTGGGAAGATGATTTATGGCCCAGAAAAGGAAAATATGATCCATAGCCGGTGTCTATTCAAGAGACAGCAGCAAACCCTATTTTCTTTAGAAATAAAATTCTGAGCCTAACATGTCATCAGAAATAAAAACTCGCTCTTGAGAAATTCAGATTTAGATAAATTTGATACTAGAGGTAACTTCTGTGTAAATATCAGATCGAACACGCCAATCCCAAAAAAATATAGGACCAGTAATTTTTAACAAACTACCTACAGAAATAAAAAATTGTGAATTTTGAAGAAACTGTAAGTCAAAACTAAGCAATTACTTGAAAAATGTTTTTACAAAGTTGAAGAGTTTTTATAATAACGTGGTATGTTATATTCATTTTATATTCACGTTATATTCATTAATTTGTAAGTTTGTCTTATGGAAGTAAACTTAACTGAATACGATGGTAGTTGAAATTATTAGTAGCTTGCTTTTTGTGTTTCAAATATATCGAGTAACGGAATACATTTTAGATTTAATTATTGACCATAATCAGGATTGTGATCCGGAAACAGAATCGGTATGTTTTTGTAAAAAACTCAGGCTGTGCAAATTGTATTTACACTTCTTCTGGATTTTCTGCTTCAGGTATTACTTCTGTCTCGCTGATGTTTCGCCCAATATAGTGTGGTATTTGAAACTGACAGGGACAAGGCGAGTGAAAGTGGTGGGGGTTATTTCTTCACCAATAAAGGAATCCCAAACGGAAGACAAATAGAAACCTGAATTGAGGTTTATATTATTAAGGTGTTATAATTTCGATAGACTCTCGAATTGTTCTTGGATACAGGAAAATGCTAGATGTCATTTTCGTTTTATCCAAAAATATCTTATGGTGTTTGCGTTTAGGAACTATGAATTATCACAATCCAGGTGTCTTTAAAGATATCTGTTTACCATATCATCCCAGCTCTTCTCTCAAGCAATTTCCATTATCAAGATACTATACGTTTGAGAACCGCTTACACAAACTAACTCCGTAATTGACCCTCCGTTTGCCACTATGGTATGTCCGTTTGTTCAAAATGTCAATGCTTAGATATAACAAAATTTGAAAAACGTAATATCAAAATTAGATTCTCTACATCGGAGAACCAGTTTGAAAATAGCAATCAGAGTAAATGAACACCAGAAAAGTCAAACTTTGACAATCATCACAAAATAGAACATCAGATTCTATTCGATCAAAATGCTCGCATCCAGCACGTTCTTCTATGCAAGAAAAATTCGAAAAACATGAAACGCGATATATGTTTCTATTTCTCTACCCTTTGGGATTGGGTAATCCATGAAGCAATAACCCCCCACCCCCTCCTCTATTCGCCACGCCCCAGGCAGAATGCATGCAGAACAATCGGCCTTCAGTTTGAGTGTGAAGAAGCTAGTAACAGGAGAAATCCAGAAGAAGTGTACCTTCTGTTGTAGAATATCTCCATATTCGATATCAAAACATAAAATCCGCAGTTATAAATGAATATCCATTTCCAACCGACATCACCTCTTTCAGCTGTCGATCGTGTCGAAAGAACGCCCGCAAAAAATAAAAACTGAACTGTAACTGAAAGATACGTATTAATAGAACTTAAAGGTGCGTTTGCACTTTATAGTTACCACATAGCATACTGTGCAGTGCTGTTCAACAAATTAAATATCCACTGAAAAAACTAACTTACTGCATGCGGTCTTCAAAAAATAAAACAGATGCAAATTCGCACACCACTCGCACTCTCAAAACCTATAAACTAACGTTGTTATTGGGAACGCACTCCTTACAAGCGATCGGATATTGATCAGTTTTCGCCGTGTATTTTTCATACTTCATCGAAAAGATTTTCATATCGGATGTCAAACGTGTATGTGTTAGTACGACTTCAAAAAAAAAACAAAAAACGAAAAACCAACGAAAGTGGTTTAACCTCCACCAGCCTCTATCTTACCATACTGTTTGGTTCGCACGGGTATCGGTGGAGTGGTGGCGCCCTCTCCGCGTTGCGATCTGGCCGCCAACCACACGTAATACAATGTGTTCGGGTAGAGTCCGCTGAGGGTGTACGACTCCGATATACCTATCCTACGGTGGTGCTTTTCTTTGGCGTAAGTATCGTTCCAGTATAGTTCGTAGCTGACGATGCTTTCACCGGAATGAGTTGGTTTGCTCCATTGTAAAGTGACGGAGCTTTCACCGATATCCGATGCGCGTAAGTTACTCGGTTGACTCGGCACACCTGTCAATCAACCGCAATTATTTTCTCGATGTCCTAATCGTCTGTTGCTGAGGAAATTCTTTTATAATATTTTTTAATAAAGGGTTATGTTTTTTAGAAGTTATAAAATATTTTTGAGAAGCTTAGTGCGCCCTGGTCCATCCTTTGGAGATGTTTGCGGATCTGAAACATTGCCAATTCAACTCGCAACAGATGACAATATAGGACATTTTAATGGAACGCCATGTATATTATTACGTATCCTGGTTTTTGGGAAAAAAATTGAGTGACGTATGTTAATTTTTCCTATGCATATCTACGAAAGCGAAAGTCTACCAAATATAAGATACTGAGTTTAGTTTAATAAGGAAAACTTTTGAGGAATAAGTAAGAATTCTGGAAATAAGTCAATCATTTGTCAGAATTTTAGAAAAAAAGTCAGAATTTCTGAAAAATAATTCTGGAATTTCTGTACAAGTCTCAATTTCTGAATCGAAACACAAGATATGCAGGGTCCTTCTAAAAAGAGTAAATTAATAATAATAATTATTATTATTTCGCAACAAAATAATATGGAAAGTATTACAAAATTTAGCCAAAATCTAGTGCGTTTTCATCTTTTAAGCAACGTCCAAATAAGTTTCCAATTTGCCATTGAAATGTGAAAAAAAAATTTTTTTCATAATACTATAAAAACTTGCCCCAATAATGGACAATTTCAGAATAAAATACATACAGGGTGAATAAATAATAAATATTTTTTTTTTCAAAAATACCTTTTTTTTTCTACTTCCTTCTGTAAAGTACATAATTACACATCGATCTAGAGTGCCGGAAGCGTCACTTTACCACGTCAGTTTCGTTAAACACGGATCCGAGCCACGTCGGACATTTCCGGAATTTTACCGCACGGCTTTGGGAGCAATCGGATGTTTTCGGAGATATTTCTCACGCCTTGAATTTTGACGTCTGTCAATTCTGACGGTCATGTCAGTCAATGTATTCGTGTTGTTTTGCGAAAATGTACCCAAAAACTAACGGTCGAAGTATTCCGTTCCGTAAACTTTTTACGTTACTCATGACTCAAATGCCGTTTGCAGCACTTGTTGCATTCACTAATTTTATTTATAATAAATCTAAAGAAGACCCGCAACAATAGGACGACATATGTAAATGGTTCATTGCAGTTTGTAAAATTTTCATTTGATCACTGTGATAAAAGAAAGCAATTGAGATTTTAAAAAAATATTGATTTCGAAAGGCACTTTAATCACTGTCACACAGACATTTTTGTGTTTTTATTTTAAGATATTTATTTTTTAAATTACTCATTTTTTCAACAAATGAATGCATCAGATTCATTGATGAAGAGGTTTAAGTTCAAAAGAAGTTAAACTTATTGAAAGTTGCAACAAAATCAAATTAACACAAATAAAAAATTTCAAAAACTGGCAAAGCTGTGAAAAATGATAGAATTTGTTTGTTACTTTTAATACATGGAGCAATGTTGGTAAAATAAAAAAAAATCTGCAATACCATTCAGTATTGTCTATGTTCGAAAGAGTGAGATTTGGTGGTTTATTATACTATGCAGTTGCGAAAGAATTAAAATGTTTAAGCTGAAACTTATTTAAACGTCAATATGCGCAGAGTGGGATTTGCCGTTTGTTTTCTTTTTTTATTGTTATGTTTTTTATTAGTTTCTTTTTATTTTTCCTTGTACACCATTTATATTTCCAACTCTTGAAAACTTTTTCATTTAGTGCTTGTTAGGAATCAGACATAATATAAAAGTATCTATATCAGCGTCTAGGGGTTGAACTTTTTTTTACAAGCATTAGGCTAAATGTTGTGTTACTTTCTGTATTATTTTATTGCGTTATAAATAGTATTATTATGATATGTTATGAATCTAAATATAGCTTGATTATAAAAACTATTTTACCCGAAATCCTGCCATTTAATATACCTACCTTGCTGGGTCTTGACATGCACGGGAGGGCTGAGTGGACCGGGACCGACCGAAGTAAAAGCTTGGACCCGTATGGTGTAGATGGTGTGAGGTGTGAGCTCACTGATTGTTGTTAACTGATTGTTATCGACTACTTGCGAGTCCCACTGTGCCATCGGAAGCTGCGAGTTCGTCGTGTAATAAACTTTGTAGCCCTAGGGATTGAAAGGAAGATGTATCGCAACGCGATTCGACAAGCAGTTGTTTCGCAAGAAAACGAATCTGAAGTTAAACGAATCGGTAGTTGGATATTTATGTGCTACATGTAGCTAATAACCAGCCTATTATAATCAGCATGAAATAATTCAATTTAAAAGGAATATATCGCTATTTTTCAGAGATAAAATGGGCCAAGAACAAATGACAAGCTGGCTTAAATAAATTCAGTGGTAAGTGAAGTAAGACTTCTGTGGAAATACTTACCGTCACCTGGCCATTAGGTGTTTCGGGTTCATCCCACTGAATGACCATGGTGCTGGAGCTCAGTGGTCTTACTTGCACATTCCTGGGTGCCGTACCGGGTTCTGTATAACAAATATGTATTCCTATAGTACTTGAAGAAAATATCAGAAACTATACAAATATTACCAAGTAGTATACAACAATTGATGCTGCGTGAGAAAGAAAGACCCGCAGAACATAGCCATAATAAAAATTTTTGGCACCATTGATTTGTTTGGAATTCAGGAGAACCAAAAAGATATGAAAGTCATGAATCTTTAAGGACTGTATTAGTCGTTCCTCAGGACTTGAGGATGCCTTAAATATTTTAGCATGATAAATTTGTCAAATTATTAATGACGTCACATTCTAAAGTCTTTTTTGGTCGAGGAAGTTCAAGTATCGTCTATGAATTCCACCCTTATATTCTTGTTGTAATCTTAACTATTAAATTTCTGAAATGACATTTCTAAGACACCATGTCATAAACAGTTAGTTAGCTATGTGGAATTTGGAAGAATTATTTGCATTTTGCTGAATGCAATGAATGAATAGATTTCTGCCTTGACCTTAATTTTTGAATTTTAAAAAACTGCTGAACATATGAGTACTCCAGATGCAGAATCACACTGTTAAAAGTTCTAAAGAGAGTTATGGTGAACCAAAATATAAACTTTTGTAATAGATATTCCATTGCGCTGAATGTAATGTAACGGAAAGAGATGACTTGACAATGGTATCGCGACTATTATGGTCTTGCTAGATTTTATCAAGGCCTTTGGTAAAGTAAAGCTCTGGTAAAGGTGCTTTAGGGTTACTTTCTTCATATTTATTTATTTAGGGGGAAACAAAGATTAGTGCTGGATGTGTCAGAACCCCTTGATGTAACCTGTGGTTTTTCACATTGTAGGTTTTAGGTATTTTAGTATTCACAATTTACGCATCTCGATTTCCTTAAGCATTGAAACACTGCAATTAGCTATTTATGTAGGTACAACCTAGATTTATTATTCCTCTGATCCATCTGAAATAGTCCTTTCTTGGTCAAAAATGCATCTTCTAAAGATTTGTCGCCATTTTTTTAGTTTAGAAAACAAAAAACAACAATTCTCTTAAATCAAATCAAGAGCATGTAAAAATATTGTGAAAAACTTGGACTATAAATTGAAATTTAAGGAGCACAAAGAGCACAATGTGAAGAAGTATTCGGCACTGAAAATGCATAGGCACTACCTAAACAGGGTTACAAAAAAATGCTAAGCTTGTTTTGATTGCTCCAACAGCATAAATTTAATGTCCAAAATTGGCTTAACATGCATAATCGAGGTTTATAATATAATATTAGATAATAAAATATTCTAAAGAAACTATCCCTAAACATCAAATGGAGCTTTTGAAACAGTGTTTCCCGTGCTGTCTTCTCTAGTATTTAAATAAATTTAATTATTATTGTTGTTATTATTGACTTTACATTACACATTATAATTACGTTACAATAATTGCATTAATTCAATAATATTTTAACGTTCATGTGTACTTCTCCTTTTTCATATTATTATTATTAAATTGTTTTTTTTTTACATTTCTGGAACCAGCAGGTTATTTTGCTAATGATAAAACTATTTTCTTCCAATTTTTAATTTAAATTTATATATAAAATTGTATTCATAGAGCCGTTTGACGAATTCTTAATTGGCAAATAATCCCCAAAACGCTGGAATTTTCAAAATCAAATAAAAGTTAGAAAAATTTAAAAGAAATTAGAGAAATGTTACTTCACTGTCATTTTGAAATCGAAAATGCAAACATATTACCGAAAAATTGCACATTAAGCCTATATTATACATTATTTCAGTGTTGGAATGTTTTAATTTTTAATAATAAAATAGTGGATCATCTTGGGTGAATTACCCTGTATACCCATGGATTTTAGGGTGTGGTGCCGCAAGTTCAACAACATTCATTGCTATAGGACGATTTTAATGGTTATTGATTTTTCGGCCACTTTGAAATGAAACGTGGAATTAGAACAAATATTTGCTAGGGTTTCACATCTCTTTATCACACAGCATATAACTCACATAACGTATAGACGATAAGACATCGATTACTTACTGGCACCTCCATAGAAAAAGTCAGCTGCAATAACAATATAATCAGCATAAAATTTTGACGGGGTAACGAGTTAGGTGATGGAAAATATTAACACGCTACTGTTATCTAAAAATCACAGGGGTGCTGAAGGTACAACTACGGTGTGAAAATATACAAAAAAAACTCTAAAACTTACATTAGCAAAAATCACAAAATCCATTGCTCAAAAATCAGATTGGTTGCATGAAAGTGGCGAGAAAAAAAATCATGAAAAATTTGACATCACAGTAACATTTATAGAACAGCGATAACATACATTATCAATTTCAATGAATGTGCAAAGTATATTTAATTTCCATCGCAGCATTAACAATAACAACATCCAATTTGGAAAATTGCAGACGCCCTTTAATTGGTTCACTGCCAATTTAACATTCCTATGCCATGATTTCATTCGTTAAAATTTTATTTAGATAGCCTTCGGATATGTGAGCACTTAGAACATACCGGTTTCTCCTGTGGTTACTATAGCTGGAGCGCTAGGCGGACCTCTACCGATATTGTTGACAGCTATCACGTACATTTCGTATTCGGTATAAGGGCTCAGATTTCTGACCGAATAATACATCGTGATGATCCCGCTAATTTCGCTGAATGCTTGATTGGCGTACTTGGGTTTGAACTGAATGACGTAGTACTGCAGCTCTTCCGGACCGTTGTATGACCAGGTCAGCCTCACCGAAGTGGCGGTAATTTCCGAAACTCTTACGTTCGTCGGTGGTCCCGGTAACGCTGCAATCGAATCCAACTTAGTTAAGTTGTATTTCGTTCGAGGTTCTTAAGTTTAAGAACCCCAAACAAAATACATGGGCTAATGGACTTCATCCGAATTTAATGAACTTTTAGTGTGCTCTAGTTACTGATGGAATAAAATATTGGTCGACTAGGTATCTAATTGAATTTACGTAGATACTAGAAAAAGTAAAAAATGGTTTATAGAACAAGCGATGAAAAAGTGATTTTACACACCATTTTGAAAGCACCTGAGAACGCAAGTTCTTTGGAGGCATCTAGTGTTTTTGTTACGGATTGTATGGAATATTTCACTAGCACAAAAAGGATCAGTGTACGTCTAATTAACAGAATCCATACATATATACATATATACCAAATATTACCTTGGCAAAACATTATGTAGTAAACTAGCTGTCTCAAAAATAAATACGAATAAGTATTGAATAAAGGTCTGTATTTTAATGATACAAAATTTACCATTAAGACTAATATGATGGAAACATTAAAATCATTTTCAATAAAAAAAAGAGTAACACTGTAATACTTTGGCGCAAGAAATATGGTGCATATGTATAGACCCTGCTAATTGCAAGTACACTGGCTCTTTTGGTGCTACATTCTTATAGTAAAATATTCTATATAACTCAACAAAAACACTTGCCTCCTCTAACGATCTCTAGTGCTTGTTGAATAAACCATTTATAATTTTTTTTTGTATCTATACAGGTAGATTCGTAGCCACGAGTTCGTTTCTATCTTTAATGCGGTCACCCGCTGGGTGGCGAGTTCCATAGTTTTTGGGATATTGACTGTTAAAAAAATCCATGACAGAGTACCGATGATTTTTTTTAAAGAATAGTAAATCTTCAATAATCTAGCAGTTACAGTATAATTTTTGGAATTTTAGTTGTGTACTACTAAATCATTAAGAAAACATACGTACTATACAAAGATAGAAAATTATATAAATTTATATGTATTATAAATAATATGTACATTTTGTGAAGTTGTATCGGCTAGCGCTTTTTTGTTTTTAAACTTTTTTTTAGCCCACCTCGTATTGAAAATAAAATTATCTGGTAATAACTTTTAACGTTAAAGTGTAACAGTAAGATGTAGTAGAAGCTGAAATAAAAATCGAACCCATTCTGTTGACGTCATCTAAACTGAATAGAGGACATTTTAGATTTACCTTTATAAATTAAATATAGCTTAGAAATGAGAAACAAAAGTCATTAAGACAAATTATAGCCATGAGTATTTTCACAAAATTTAAATTTTATTTTTCATACATTCAAACATACATACTTTAGTAAAGAGTATGACCACCTAGATTCTTAATAACAGGTCTACAATTGTTTCTCAGGCTTTTAACGAGGTTATCAAGGATTGCTTGGGGGAATTAAATGCCATTGTTATTCTACACAACTTAGCTCCGGCGATTGCGTTTTTCTTATGTTCTGACAATAAGCTTTTCATTTGGATGAATGAATTTTAATTTGAATGAAGATGGTGACAGTACATTTTATTAAAAATTATTAAAAATAAATATTCCAAACAAACAAACAAAATTTTTTTTGTTAATAATATTTAACCAAAGTAAAAATAATTTTTAGGCTTCTTACCTATTTAGTATTGATGTGTATATCTTTCAATTTTTCAATGGTACCGAACGAAAATTCGAAAAAAAATAACTTTTTTGACTGCACCTCTTATAAAAAGAAAAAACTCTCGCCAGCAACAGTAGGTACTTCAATTGTTTTACATCTTTAGCACAAAATAACTTTTAATTTATGTCATTTTACCTAAAAATATAATGCATTTTCCAAAAATTTGACACATTAGGAGCTAAACATAAAAGCCTAATGTAAATCGGACATTTTTTAAACAATAACTAGAATAGTCTAGTCAGAGCAATTGTGCAGTTACGTCATAGCGTGACATCTATATCCAGTTCATTACTACTGGATGTCGTAAATTGACATGGAATTTTGTTTGTCAGTTTTGAAATCCATGTCAAAATACTCCAACGATTTGGTGAAAAAGGGCAAGCCCTTATTTTAAAACTGGTGGATTATACTTTATGAATGAGTAATTTAAGTTTCTGATAATTATTAATTAGGAAGGTACTTATTATGCCTTATTGTACAGTGTTGCGGGTGAATTGGATGTCTCTAAGATGGGTGCTTAAGTTTGTTTCTGGAGGGATCAAAACCGATCATGAACATAGAATTAAAGTTAGGACCAGTCATATCGCAGCACACGGAACACCCCCGTATAAAGTACACGAGCATAGCTTACGGACATTAATGTATGCTATGTATGGTTCTTTGTGGGTATATAAGATTTTGGTGATTTTTGGATCGACAAAATTCATTCATTTTAATAATTAATTTTCATTCCTTATAAGAGGACATGTCAGTAGAATCGCTACTCAAAAACTTACATGAAATCGATGGCATTGATATTTCACATGCTTCATTAATTGATGGATTAAAAAGGTTAAAACAACTGACATTTTTCAGAGAATAAACGAAAAACCAGAATGATGCCTTTTCATTCAATCGAGTATTTTTGGACGAGACTTGGATATTTATTATATTTTTTATGGAGAAAGTAGACTTTTTCTAAGGTATTTTTGTACCCATGGAAACGCTCATTTCCTCAATACTAATATGCTTTGGAAAAAAACTAATTTATGTAATTGTTTTTGCTTTAAAATGTGGTTCAGTAAGCAGCTGTTGTCCGATCTTAGTGAATCTTCAATAATAATGGACAATGCATCGTATCACTGTGGACTTGAGAGAATACCTAATCAAAGTTGGATCAAGCGATCTTTTATCGAGTGGCAGCAAAAAAGGAATATTCCATTTCAGTCAAGTTTAACGAAAGACTAACTATGGACGTTAGTGAAGCAACAGTTGCCAGAAAAAGTGCATAGGTAGTAATAAGTATTTTGTAATAAGCATCATTGCGATAGAGATTTAGAGAGTCTTGGGAAAGGGAAAAGTTGATCAATGCATCTAACATTCTCCCAGTTCTTATCGACCTGCATGAATCAGGAGGAAGATACTTTTTCCGATGATGATTAGTTTTTCTTCCAGTTCTTTGCTATTCGCGTTATGGTTTTTCCTTGTTTGTGTTGTCGAAGCATTGGTAGTTTTTCAAAAATAAACCTATAGATATTTGTTTCGTCGCATATATTAAATGCGTTTTATTATGTCCGTTTGTTACGCCACTGAACCAAGTTGTCCCATTATAACAAAATACTAATATGTACCTAGATACATGGCATTTTTTGCGAACGGACGTTTTATGACCGTATTTCTAGTAGGTTCTACCATTTATAACCCGATGACTGACGTTCATGTTGCAAAAACCCTTGCAAAATAGAATTTTAATTTAGTTTTTATGATTGATATCCGAACGTATCTGCCTTAAACTGTTGCATTAATTAAAATCGCACGCATCTGAAAATATGGCTAAGACATACGGGTCATTTTTGATCAAGTCACTGTACGTGACGTAATTAGTTAACTGCTCTTACTGGAGATACTGATATGTCATTAAATTCACAGAAGTGAGAAGTTTTTTCAACAAGAAAATACTCACATTGTACTTTAACGTGGGTGACCGTTTCAACAATCCCGAGGGCGCTGGCAGCCACGCATGTATAATTCGCGGACGCTTCGATTTTTTTCAGCTCGAGAGTATTTTTTCCGATCGGTAGCTTATCTTCGGGGGTCAGCTCTTCAGTTTCCCCTTTCCTCCATTTCACGAAAGGCATCGGAGATCCGACTGCTACGCAGGTCAAATTTAAGTCGTCCCCTAATTTTACTTCGGCAACCGGTGGTGGTGGTATCGAGAATGTTGGGGGCACGCGCCGCACTGGAAAGCGAGTTACTTAGCGTTACTGGAGTTTAATGGTTATCTTTTACCTTTCACGTAGAGCAGAGCGGATTTCGAGTAATCGGTACCGATGGAATTTTCCGCGACACATTCGTATTTGCCGTGATCTTTCTCTTCACTGTTTCTGATCTGAAGCGAACCTGCAACAAAGTTTCGCAGTGAAAAAGCTAAAGTTTATTTCGGAAAGGTGCAGCGTAATAAAACCTCATGTATGCAAAGGGGCTACAGAGTGATCAAATGAATATGAACATATATTACACAGTTTTTGTGTATTCTTTAATTTGTTACGCATTTTAAACTATTACCAGGCGTACGCTGAGAAGGAACAAAAGCAATGTTACACCAGCTGCAGTTTCATCTACAGGGTTGCATTTGAAATTTCGGAAAACGAAAACCCCAGCAAACTTTTCGCCAACCTGAAAAACTGGATTAGTAATACAGTAGTTGCATAAACACAAGTACTTGGGTACATAGCAACTGCAAAAATCTAAGGCCAATTAAAAAAAAAGCTTATTGAAATACTACAGCTTTAACCTGTCAATCTAAGGAAAACGGAATACATTTGAATACTATTCAAAAATCTTTTGGATTCCTTTTTCACAGCCTTGAGGAAACCAACAGAAATATTGGCGAAAAGATGTAATAGTATTTTCCTACTCTATTCTCTCAAATACGCCATTATACACCTATAGAGCATACGGAAAGTATAATTTTACGACGTCACTTTCGTTACCTACGGCTGGAAGCGAATTTAGTCATTTCCGGAATATTACCCACGGGATAATTTTGACGTTTTCCAATTCTGACGGTCAGCCACAAGTTTGGTAAATTTTTTAAGTCAAATGTCGTTTACTACACTTGCTGCATATACTATTGTAGTAGTCCGCAGAAGTTACTGTGAACATTTTTATTTGAATAAATGGCCGGTAGAATGTCAATTTTTTTTTTATTGAGTGCAGGTAGTAAAACTCCGGTTTCGGCAAAATTATGTGTTTTGCCTACTGTTATCTATTCATCAACATTAAAAGTGGTGCGCCAAAGGCGTTTTGTTATGATACTTGTGAAAAAAAAAGAATGTTACTTTAACAGAATTAAAATATTAACCTCTACGAACAAACAACCGTGTACGAAAAATCACAGGTCACGTTGCGAAATTTAAAATTTTAAAATAACATTAACAATAATAATTAGAACGAAACAATTAAATAATGATTTGACTTTCTAGTAAAAAAAAGTCTAAATCATCACTGTATTGATTGATCACTTTTGGCCAATCTGAGCAGTAATGTAATGTGACCATGATTTGTAGTAACAGATAGAGGAGGAGTCTTTATTGCGTGTCTTATGTACAGGGTGGCCCGTTTATCTCGAAACCTACGGGGGTTAGAAAAAAAAATTAGGAGTACTATGTTATATAATTGAAATTGCTAGTAAAGTGGCTATCCGAAAATCCAATAATATACAGGGTGTCCCATTTAAGCAGTTTGAGAAAAGTGTCATTTTGCGAAACGTGGCAACACCGCGTATTTTAAGAAAATATATAACATTTGATCAATGCCTAAAGAATAGCATTAATTTCGTAATAATAATAGATGGAAAAAAGTTTAAAAAGTTAATAAGCAATGCAACAATGATGGTTTGCATAACCCGAATTCTTAAGATGGATCGCTAATAAGTTCGAAACGGTGCATCACAGACCCATACGCATATATATCGTTGAATTTATTTTTGAAAGAACTATCCTAAAATGCAATAAAATGTAGGGTATTCTATTAAACAAAAAATGTAACTTTGTTGTACCGTATATCAAAAAGTGACGATTGGGAAAATAAAAAAAAATAAAGGCCATTTTAATAGAAACAACTTTTGTATTTAAATTATTTCTGCAACCCCCGTAGGTTTCGAGCTAAGGTATAAGCCCCTCTTAAATGGGTCACGCTGTATATAGCAATAAGTAGCCTTACTTTCCATTAAATATTGGACCAAAAAAACATTTTGTCGTTTAATATTGACGTTATAATTGACAGATCTCATATTTTCTCCTATTCTTTAATGACGTGCCGTACCGCTATCCGATAGTATTCTGACGTCACTTCTTCAATGACCTGTTCAAACATTTTGAATGTCGTATTGTGTCTCACTGCAAATCATTTCATTTGCGCACATTTAAAGTTTTATATGAGTTAATTCGCAATCACATAGCGGTGTACGTGGCGGACTATGCTTTATATTTATGTCTTCCACGGTATAAAACGATGTATGTTTAAATTTGCTATGTGTAATAGTTGAATCTTTATTGAATCATCTTTAACGTATAGTTTGGGTAGTTAAGTGGTCAATATTTTTTGTTTTGGAAGTTGAAATCTTCTTCATACACCATGAATGATAGCGTGTGTTACCTATAACTACTACTGAATCAGCAGGAAGATATTTTATCATTTTACCAAAATCCCTCTTCGCTTCCAATAGGGTACCTGAATAGCTGTTGACAGGCATTCCATGAAAGTTTTCGTTTGGTAATATATAATCTTCACTAAGCCACGTCTCATCAAGATTAAAGACTTTCTTCTGCTCTGATATCTTTTAAAGCGGTATATGAAAGTATTTTACTTATCAAACGAATACTGTCCTAGTCGATATCCATTAAAATCTTATATATCTTATCAGAAATTTTCTTGCGAGATTATACTAGTCGATAGACTTTACAATTCTAATCATTCGGAAACAACGGTAGATAGTTTCTTTTACATCTAAAACAACAACTTTTTTGCTGTGCCGTATTATTAAAACATCTTTTCGTTGGTGTGAATGTTGCCATTTTATTACTAATCTTGTTGTCGTTAACTTTCCTCACCGACCGATCTTCATTGGTTCTTAATACGTATGCTCTACTCTAAGCTCTTCCTTTGGACCCATGAGTTAACTTTCTGAATCTGTAGTTATCCCACTCTTTTCTGATCCGCGATCCTTCTTAATCATGTTTTTGCGGTGTCAGATGTTGATTGCTATTGTTGGTGCTTGTTATTTGGAGACCAAGATATAGTTGAAGGATGATAATTGCCCAACGACAATGTTGTAAAGTTATGAGAGTTTTTGTCTTTTTCGAAGATATTATAAAATAAAATTTCTCACAGGACAGTGCAAATACCTGATATTAACGTTTTTAATGTTGTTATACGGTGCTGAGACTTGGACTCTCAATGCCAATGCTATTGATAAATCGCCTGGAAGTATTCGAGATGTGGTTGCATAGAAGAATGCTCCGAATACCATGGACCCCTCTGCAGACCAACGAAGCAGTTTTAAATAGAGCAAGTGCCGTCCGTGAGTTATTTAACACAATCAAAATACGAAAAATATCGCTGGGGCATGCTCTTAGAGGCGACCTCTACAAAATCCTTCAACTCATAATGAAAGGCAAAATCGAAGGTCGCAGAGGTATTGGGAGGAAACAAATGTCTTGGCTAAAGAACATCCGGGATTGGACCGGAATACGCAGTGCCGAACAACTATTCAGATTGGCCGAAGACCGTGATCAACTCGCCAATGTGATTGCGAACGTTAGGGGGACCTGATATGGCACGGAAAGAAGAAGAAGAATTCCCATTGAAAAAAAAAAATAGATAAAAAGACATAAAAAAAGATAAGTCTAACTTTGCATATCAAACTTTGTCAAAATCAATGCCATTTGAAAAATATTGGGTCCTAATAGAGAAAAAAACATTTGCATCACTTTATACAACAATATACCGGGTGTCTTAAGTGAGGAAACATAGTTTTGCAGCTTTGAAAATAATATGAGTCGTCAAATAAAGTTTGCACACAGTTGTAAGCAATAAATTAATTCCATTATTCAATATTAAATATTGGGAAATCCAAATATACCTGAAATAAATATATACGAATTAATGAATGAAATAATATACTCAGGGGATGGTGAAGAACAACTTGAAGAACTTAAAAAAATCGCAGGCGCAAAGAATTAAAACACCTTATATCTGCTCTTCTCTCTAATAATTTCCACGTTTGAGATATTAAGCGTTCTATCACACGTTCCAACATAATGTCCGAAAGCAACCCCACCCCACACTTTCCACTATTGTTCCTCCTTACACGCATGACCGGATGAAAAATATCAACTAGGCTCAAATAATATGAAAGAGCCTTACGACTGCAACAAATAAACTGATCAGCAGTTACAGAACACAATGACGAAACCGGACATCAAATTTTATTCCATAAAACTAAAATTCTTGCATATAATCAATTCTTTCTATTATATAGAAATCTATTAGCAACCAAACAATCTTAACCGCGGCTCAGATTTTCACCGTTCACCAATATTGGAACCAGTCATCCGAGACAACGTTCATGATCCTCCTTGAGCTCCGCCCTCTCAAACAGTATATAAGCTGGTACTAAGTAAAATGCGAGTCAGTTTCAGTTAAGCACTGAAGAAGCCAACAGAATGATTGGCGAAACGTCAGCAAGTTCGATTCAACAACAACCAATGCAGAAGGAATCCAGAAGAAATAGTATTACAGTAGATTGCGGAAGTTTCTTTGTTCATGATGGTCTAACTAATACATAATTCCATTATAATTTGGTATCTTTCAAACTTTTTAAACGTGGTATTATGAGGCTTCCAAAAACTATTCAATTCGTAAATTATTTGTGAAAATTCGAAGCAACATCGGCGTCATCGAGAAATGGTAATATCAAAGCTATTTTCGGCCAAACAAATTAAATTCTCGCGACTAACCTCCGGTCCGTGGGGGGAAAGCTGAATATGTGCCAAACGTAAACTATTCCGAAATTGGAATTATATGCCGACATTAAAGGTCTACTATTTTAAAGCAATAGATACACCCGGAAAGATCGGAACGAGCAAGATGGCGAACGCGGGATGCAAGCGGAAGGCAGTTTAATAATTTAAACGAATGGAGGCCCGAAACGGGGGACGAAATTCTGTTCTACAAAGTGCATTCGGAACTTTCTGATAGGTCAAAAGGTTGCTGACTAAACGGGGAACTCTGACTGTCGAAAGTAGCCCGTTAACTTATAACAAATTTATTCGAAATGTTTCCTCGGAGGTCGTGGCGTAATTGCCTCTGGAACGGACGTTTTGACAGTTAATGTA